AGTGTCTAAGTCCGCGTTGAGGGCTTTAAGGGCTCTGAAAAACTCCATGCCTACGCCCAGCAAAACGCCTGTGTTAGGGTTTAGGGTTTAGGGTTCAGGGTTTAGGGTTTAGGCTTTAGAGTTTAGGGGTTAGGGTTCAGGGTTTAGGGTTTAAGGTTTAGGATTTAGGGTTTGCGGTTGAAAGGGTTTAGGGTTTAGGCCTTCCCCCGACGTTTCCGGCCAAGGTGCACAACAAGTGTGTTTGCCATGGAGGTACATTGATTCCTCGGCAGGAGTCTAAACCCTAAACCTTAAACCCTCAACCCTCAACCCTCAACCCCAAACCCTAAACCCTAAACCCTAAACTCTAAACCCTAAACCCTAAACCCTACAGTTGGGGGGCGGCGCCTGCCCGGTACCGGAGCACGTTCTTGTCAGGACCAGTACTGGTCCTTATTAAAGTCATTATCCTAAACCCACAGTACCAAGCTTCTGGAGGTGTTTTGCTGTCTCCCAAACCCCCCAAACCCTAAACCCTAAACCCTAAACCCTAAACCCTAAACCCTAAACCCTAAAACCCTAAACCCGAAACTCAACCCAACAAGCCCAACCGTAAAGCTGAGTCTTTGCCCGCAGGTCCTCACTGAGCCTGCGCCGGGCTTTGGGGCTTCAGGGTACGAGTATTATCAAGAGCAGTGGGGTTTGGGGGTATTAATAGCTGGGAAACCGAAGAAACCGTGGCTTAGGGTTTAGGATTTGTGGTTTACATTTGGGGCTTAGGGTTTAAAAACACGGTGAGAACTCCCCCCCCCTCCCCCCTCCTTAACAAGAGGGGCTTGACTTGGCTTTTCGAGCTTCGGGCTTGGATTTACAGCTCGTGTTCTGGCTGAGATGAAGAAAAATCCAGGGGCAGCGGAAGATGCGATCGCTTGGGGGTACACCTCCACACCCCTGCACTTTAGGGTTTGCAAGGGTTTAGGGTTTAGGGTTTAGGGTTTAGGGTTTAGGGTTTAGGGTTTAGGGTTTAGGGTTTAGGGTGTAGGGTTTAGGGCCTACACCCCTACACCCCTCCACCCCTGAAAAGCCCATGTCTAAAGCATCAAGACTTCCCAGTAGAGCTTCACGCAAGGCCTTCGAGCGCCTTTGGACCCTCCCAGCCACTCCGAGTTCAGGGCTTGCAGGGTTCAGGTGGCAACTTTGTCTTCACGAAAAAGGGTTTAGGGTTTAGGGTAAGACTCGTGTGCATCCATATCGCCCACACACACACACTTTTCCAAGCTTTTCGTCTCCGTCGGGAATGCACCTGCCTTGCACGGCAGCTTGGCAAGCCAAGCCCGTCTACTCAAGGTCCCTGTCACCAGGGGTTTTGGGTGGGTTTCAAGGTTTAGGGTGTTGAAAGTTTAGGGCTCAAGGTGTAGGGGGGCTTCAGGGTTGCGAAGGATTTGAGGGTGTTTAAGGTTCAGGGCTCACGGCGTAGGAGTTTTTTAGGCTGGCTTAGGGGTGTTTGAGGTTGAGTTGAGGGTTCAAGGTGTATTGCAGTCTAAGGGGGTTCTACGGCCTGCAGTTTTAGCCTTACATGGTGAAAGGGGCATCGAGCTTAGCTAGTGCGACACACTTGTGCCCGAGAAACGCAGGAAGCCCTGAGGGTCCATGTACCTAATTGTTTATATACCTGGGGCCCTCCAGTCGCTATATAGGAGGGTGAAAGGGTTTAGGGTTTTAGGGTTTGAGGGTTTTAGGGTTTTTTTGGGTTTTAGGGTTTTAGGGATTTAGGGTTTTAGGGTTTTAGGGTTTTGGGTTTTAGGGTCTCAGGGTTTCAGGGTTTCAGGGTTTAGGATTTAGGGCTTAGGGTTTGGGGTTTAGGGTTTAGGGCTTTGTTTGGGTACATGGACCTTTAGGGAATTTTACATTGCTATCTCCGATTGCCTCAGCGGCGGACATGCTCCGCACGGTGCAGAGGAGCCTTCCAGCTGCCCATGTCAGCAGCAGCGCTTCTCAGGGATGACTAGCGGTGTGCTCAGTCAGCCTTGCCTACAGCAGCCTGACCCTAAACCCCAAACCCCAAGCCCCAAACCCTAAACCCTAAACCCCAAACCCTGAACCCAAGTGTTTGGACAGAGAACTTCGAGGCCGACATGGTTCCTGCGCACATCCCTGGACGGCCATGTTGCCGTCTGCACACGCCTTCCGGCGTCGCTCTGCAAGTGAACTGGGCGCGAGCCCGTTCTCGAAGTCTGCCGATGCCGTGTCCTGCGTCGCAGGTGGGGCCTAAACCCTAAACCCTGAACCCTAAACCCTAAACCCCAAACCCCAAACCCTAAACCCTAAACCCGAAATCTAAACCCCTTACAGTAAAGCCGCGCGAAGCGCAGAAGCACATGTTGCTGGCAGTCAGGGCCTTATGATCAGTTCCTTTCCCGGCAATTGCCTGACCTTGAGCAGCATGGGGGTAGCTTTGCCAGGTCTCCCTAAACCCTAAACCCTAAACGCTAAACCCTAAAACCTAAACCCTAAACCCTAAACCCCAAACCCTAAACCCTAAACCCTAAACCCTTGCACTGAGTTCTTGTAAAGCAACTCAACCCAAACTACCACCATAGGGTTGTGTCATAAACAAGATGGTTTGGGGTGTTTCCCCCCCCCCATGCTAACAGTCCTTAATCGGGACTACAGTACACCCCTAAACCCTAAACCCTAAAACCCTAAAACCCGAAAACCCTAAAACCCGAAAACCCTAAAACCCTAAAACCCTAAAACCCTAAAACCCTAAAACCCTAAAACCCTAAAACCCTAAAACCCTAAAACCCTAAAACCCTACAACCCTAAAACCCTAAAACCCTAAAACCATAAAACCCTAAAACCCTAAAACCCTAAAACCCTGCAACCCTAAAACCCTAAACCCTATTAAGGACTGCTAGTATGAGGGGGAACATCCCTAAAGATGGTGGTAACCTAACCCCAGCTACTATTAGCTTAAGAGCCCCAAAAGAATCAAAGAAAAAAAACAACATACTGTAATCCCTATGTTACCCTGAATCAGGAATCTTTTTTGGGGGGTTCTTGAGCAATTAGTAGTCCTAAAACCTAAACCCTAAACCCTAAACCCTTAGTAGCAAGTTTTACAAGAAAAGACCCTTGAAACCGCAAGTCCTGGATCTGCAGACCCACAGATCGCCGAGACCTAAAGCCCTCAAATCCCATACCCTAAACCCTAAACCCTAAACCCTAAACCCTAAACCCTAAACCCTAAACCCTAAACCCTAAACACTAAACCCTAAACCCTAAACCCTAGCCCTGAATCCTACCAGCATAAGCCCTGAGCCCCAAGCCCTGAACACCAGACCTTGGGCAGCGGGGCAGCGAGGACATCGCGTGACGCACAGCCGTCAGCCTTGGGAGCCTCACGGGGTTTAGGGTTTAGGGTTTAGGGTTTATAAGGTTTAGGGTTTAGGGTTTAGGGTTTAGGGTTTAGGGTTTAGGGTTTAGGGTTTAGGGTTGAGGCTTGAAAACTTAGGGTTCAGGGTTTAAGGGGCTTCGCAACTTCCCAAAACCGCATTGGGGGAGCGCTGCAGGGCACCCCGACGCTTTTATATCATATCTACTTGGAGGTTCATGGTACTTATTTAAACCCTAAACCCTAAACCCTAAACCCTAAACCCTAAACCCTAAACCCTAAACCCTAAATACATCTGTACTTATAGGGTTTATTGTTTAGGGCTTAGGGTAATTACTTATTATCCAGTTATAACTGTACTTATAACCCACTTACAAGCCCCTTACGTGCCCTAATCTGGCCATAAGTACAGTTATAAGTACAGATATAACTGGTTAATAAGTACCATGATGTACCATGAACCTCCAAGTAAGGGTAGTTACATGGTCCCTTAGTGGGCCCTTAAATGGGGCCTACGCCTTATATACCCTATAAAATCCAAGGGCCCATACATCAGAACCCGTTGAAGGAGGTAAGGGACCACATTTAACTACCATAAAGCAGGATAATCAGCTCTCTAAGCGAGGGTCCCCGTCCCCTTCTTGGGTCCTCTGAATAGTACGACACCCTAAAGACCCCCCCCCCCCCCCCCCCAAAAAAAAAAAAAAAGGGAGACCAATTTCGAGAACTACCCATGAAAGATACGCATCCGAATAAAGCTTGAGCAAAAGTCACAAGCCTAGAGCTTGGGACGCTAGAATCTCTACCACAAAACATTGCAGGGCTTTAGGTTGCACAAGGTTTGGGGCCTCTAGGGCTTTATTGGGTTTTTTGGGGGGCTTAAGGTTTGCAGAGTTCAAAAGGCTTCAAACAGGGGTCGAAAGCTTGGCTGCACTTAGGAGGGTAGCTATACAATAAAATTCCAGCTGCCTGATTAAGAAACCCAATAAACCCAAAAAGGCTAAGGATCTAAAGTTACAGCAAAGTACCACAAAGTTAATATAAGAGGCCCCCCCCCAACCCGGGTCAGCTAGGAATCCTATCTGAAAAAACTAAGATCTAAAGTTATAGCAAAGTACCACAAAGGAAAGAAGGAATCTTAGGTTTTGGGATTTGGGTTAAAGATGCAGAACCCTGAATTCAAACCCTAAACCCCAAAGGAAAGGGTTCAAAGGGGTTTGAAGAAGATGTTTAAGGGTGTCAGCTGTAGAGCCTCGAACTTTGCCTCGATACCTCCGGGGCTTAGGGTTTAGGGTTTAGGGTTTAGGGCTTAGGGTTTAGGGTTTAGGGCTTAGGGTTTAGGGTTTAGGGCACGTAGATTCTGCCATGACAGCGGGAGTTGCTTTGTTGAGTTTTTAAGGGTCTAGGGGTTTGTGCGTTTAGGGTTTGCTGGGGTGGGCTTGGGGGCCTTTAGTGAGAGATAATAGGAATTAAGGCCCAGAGAACTTCAAAAGACACACGTGTCAAAACAACCCCACTTTAAGGTTCAGGGTTCAGGGTTCAGGGTTTAGGGTTCAGGGTTTAGGACTTGGGGTTTAGGGCTTGGGGTTTAGGGCCTCCTCATTCACCTTCTCGTGATCCAGGTGTGCTAGGTCTGGGTGAGCTCATCCTGCTTGGCGTCGGGGCGTTTGGCACTGATTCTGAAGGCAAAAAAATTAAAAGGCCGGGGTTCTTAGTTTCGGGTTTAGGGATTAGGGATTGGGGTTTAGGGTTCTTAGGGTAGTTTCATGGTCCCTTCATATGGGCCCTTGAAAGCCGGAAGCCCGATAAACCTTCAAGGGTTTGGGGTGAAGGGTTTATCTTAGGGTAGTTTCAGGGTCCCTAAATATGGGCCCTTGAAAAGGGACCCCTTACGTACCCCAAACTTCAGAACCCCTGAAAGAAGGTAAGGGACCATATTAAGGGCCTGTGAAACTACCCTTAGACTAAGGGCCTTCAGTGGGTTATGATGGGGAGTAGGGCCCAGAGGAGGTCTAAAAACAAGATTTCGAAACACCCCCTAGAGTTCAGGGTTTTGGGGCCACTGCCGCCTTTGTCTTCGGGACTTGCGTTTCTTTTTACAAAAAATCCAGTGAAAGGGAATGTAGCAGTAACCTTTTCCAAGACAAGAACGACAGTACAGTTAACCATTAAGACTTTCGATGGTCGAAAGTTGGGGAGCCGGGAAGAGTGTTCAGGGTTCAGGGTTCAGGGTTTAGGGTTTAGGATTTATGGTGCGATGCCTGAAGAAGTCATAGCAGTGATCTTGGGGGGATTCAGGGCCTATGGTAAGTTCTCTAAAGTCTGGTTCCTTGCTTGGGCTGCCCTAAATGGTAGCGGCCGAACTTAGAACAGCAACCCGAAAAGGGACAATATTTCAGAGAAGTGACCATATAATAACCCTTTACAGACACAATGGACATGCAGACTCCGACTTCCCAAGCTCCCTATTGCTGTTTGCGACGGCGGCTCAGAACTACAGTTTATGTAACTTAAACGGGTCTAGGGTTTAGGGTTTCGGGATCAACCCTAAACCCAAGAGTGTCAGGCTGAGGTGCAGGGATCGGACTGTGGGACAGACGGGGCAAATGCTCTCACCTACACCTACACACTTGGAACGATGCCTCTACGATGCTGGGAATATGCGATATGAACTGAATTGCCGGGTAAGGGGGTTCCCTAAACCCTAAACCCTAAACCCTAAACCCTAAACCCTAAACCCTAAACCCTAAACCCTAAACCCTAAGCCGCAAAGCCTAAACCCTAAACCCTAAACCCTAAACCCTAAACCCTAAACCCCAAACCCTAAACCCTAAACCCTAAACCCCAAACCCTACGAGTGATCCCAAACCCAAGGCTTCGACCACCAGACTTTGCAGGCAAGGCTCTACAAGCAACGAGCTGTACAGCCTGGGCACTAGGAGGCTCAGAGGGTTTAGGGTTTAGGGTTTAGGGTTTAGGGTTTAGGGTTTAGGGTTTAGGGTTCACGGTTCAGGGACTAGGGTTTAGGCTTCAGGGCTTAGGGATTAGGGCCATGATTAGGGTGCTTATAGGGTTCTTATGTGTAGCGATTCGGGTGTTCATGGCGATTTGGGCTTTGGTTTTGGGGCCTAAGGTTTGGGGCGTAAGTTTATGGGGTCGAGGGTTTAGGATGTAGTGTTTAGAGTACATAGAATTCTGCGCATTTTTAGTAGACTGTAAGGGGTATGAGAATTAAGACGGAGCGGAAATATAGATCAACCTCGCGCATGCCGACCGGATCTTGGGGTAGATACATGGTCCCTTAATATGGGCATTTAACACCATCGTAAGGGCCCATCAAACTACCTTTAGACCCGAAGACAACTTACAGGCCTATCCTGCGCTCTGTTTTGTTACCTAGGTTCACAGCCAACCTGGGAATCAAAAAAAAATTAGGGTTTAGGGTGTAGGGTCTAGGGAGTCCAAGGGAACCAGACCCCTTAAATCCGGCCGGTTGAAGCACAAAGCCAGTGATCTCTGACCCAATCCACCAAAAGCGCCTAAACCCCTGAACCCTCAAAATTCGTCAGGAGCCGGCGGAGGTGTTCAGGGTTTAGGATGTAGGGCTTGGAGTTTGGGGTTTAGGGTTGAGGGACCGAAACAGCTCACGGGCCCCGCATGCTCTGCCACCGCAAAGCTGCAACAACCCATTCGTACGCCGAGCCTTACCCGACCCCTCGATGCCTCCCCAAAGAGCCCAATATTGCTTAATTAAGGAATATTCCTTAAATCATATTCAGGACCCCTATATGACTTAAGGTATATTGCTTAATTAAGCAATATTGGGCTCTTTGGGTCCAGCATGTTAAACTATAGGCTTTGCAAGTGCGAGTGGAACGAACGTCAGGACTGTGCTCAGAACCCTCCTGCTGGAACTTGGGTATGTTGGCCCCCGAACCAAAACCCTGAAAGCCGTAAACCCCCAAGCCCTGAACCCTAAATCTAAACCCCAAACCCGAAAGTCCCAGGCCCTAAACCCTACACCCTAAACCCTAAAACCCTAAAACCCTAAAACCCTAAACCCCTAAAACCCTAAACCCTAAACCCTAAACCCTAAACCCTAAACCCTAAACCCTAAGCCCAGCAGCCGAAGGCGGACCCGCTCGTGAAGGACTTCGCCGTGACACTCCCAGCCCATCTGGGCATCCTCGGGAGTAGGGTTTAGGGTTTAGGGTTTAGGGTTTAGGGTTTAGGGTTTAGGGTTTAGGGTTTAGGGTTTAGGGTTTAGGGTTTAGGGTTTAGGGTTTAGGGCTAGGATTTTACGTAGGGTTTAAAGGCCTAAGGTTTTAGGGGTTTAGGGTTTAGGTCTTTAGGGTTTAGATGCTTAGGGTTTGAGAGCTTAGGGCTCGGGTTTAGGGTTTAGGGCTGGGGTCTCGGGTTTTTGGGATTTGGGGTTTTAGGGTTTTATGGTTTACGGGCTTTAGGGGTTTATGTTGAGGGTATTTGGGTGTAGGGTTTGAAGGGCTTAAAGGGCTTTAACGGTTTTAGGGGTTTAGGGCTTTGGGGGTTTCATGTTTTTTGGGGATCAGGGGGCCTTTGAGGGTTTGGGGTTCAGGACTCTTGTGTTGGATTGTTTACATATGTTCGGGGTCAGGGTTGCTTTTTTGGGGCGACGCAAAGCCGTGGGGTCGCAGCTGACGGGTTTAGGGCTTAGGGTTTTAGGGTTTTAGGGGGTTTAGGGTGCTTTGCTACGTTGTGAGGGGTTGAAATGAAACTTGTAGGGTTTGTAGAACCATGCAGATCCTAGGCTCTCAACCCTAAAACCTACATATCCTAAATCCTACACCCTAAGCCCTCAACCCTAAATCCCTAAACCCTACACCCCTGAGATCCTACATCTCCTAAGCCCTAAATCCTAGGCACTCAGCGCATCGCATGCCAAGGATCGATGATGGGCCTGGACACAGGAGAACCGCTTCTTGAAACAAGGGTTTAGGATCTAGGGTTTAGGGCTTAGGGTTTAGGGTAGGCCTTCTAGACTAGAAAGGTTAGGCTTGGGCCTTCTTGACTACAAAGGTTTAGGGCATAGGGTTGGGCTTGGGCCTTTCTTGACTGCAAAGGTTTAGGGTTTTGGCTTAGGCCTGGGCCTTTCTTGACTGCAAAGGTTTAGGGTTTAGGGTCAGCGTGGGTTTAGGGATTAGGGTCATAGGCAATGCTTGGTTCCCTCGACTCCCACTTGTGCGGCGGGGAAAGGGGGGAAAGAAAGATTTCCCTAAACCCTAAACCCTAAACCCTAAACCTAAACCCTAAACCCTAAACCCTACACCACTTTTTATTCGTGCGCAAGAGCACGGTGTTGAGGCGTCATTAGGGTGTAGGGTTTGGGCAGGGTGTGGGCTCACAAGTTTAGGGCTTCGGGTGTGTATATTCACGTAAGGGTCGACATGTGATTACATGAATACTGGTAAAATGATACTAGTAACAGTTATATTATAAGTAGTGCCACTGATGATGGTAATGGTGATGAGATGCTCCCCTTCTCTCTCTATCTCTATCTCTGTCTCTGTCTGTATCTGTATCTCTATGTCTCTCTCTCTCTCTCTCTCCCCCAAAACAGTCCCATCTCCCAGCTTAGAGGTTATAAGGTCAACACCGAGCAGCCCGCTTGCACCCTCTCCCCCCTCCTCCCCCCCACTCAACGCTAAACCCCAGACCCTCAAACCTACTCGTTACTAAGTCATGAACCACCAAGCAGGGTCTTGAGTTGAGGAGTCTTCGGTCTCAAGATTTAGCTAGGTTCAGAAAATGAGGTTTAAGGCTTAGATTCAAGGGTTTGGGGGGTTCAGGGGTTTGGGGTTTAAGGGCCTCTTTACTGGTTTAAGCTAAGGGCCGGGGTTTATATATGGGGGTTTAGGGTTGAAGGGCTTTAGGGTGTAGGGCATGAGGTCTTGTCTTCGAACCCTAACTCCTAGACCCTAAGCCCTAAACAAAAAGCCGAAATTATTGGAAGTTATTCCTGCCTCTTGTGCGGCGTGGCAACGACAAGATGCCGAGCCTCACGCGGAGCCGATCTATCTCTGCAACTCCCTGCATCTTCCGAAGCCCTAAAACCCTAAACCCTAAACCCTAAACCCTACACCCTCAACCCTTAACCCTAAATCCTAAACCCTAAACCGCAGAAAGCTGGTTCAGGGAGTTGCAGCTCGATAATATCGGCCTTGTGGAAGTTTAGGGTTTAGGGTTTAGGGTTTAGGGCTCAGGGCTTAGGGCTCAGGGCTTATAAGGGCTCAGGGCTTATAAGGGCTCAGGGCAGGATGTAGGGTCCAAAGCCTTAAGTGCAGGCACAAACCCCTCCAGGGAACGACTACGACGCAGGAGGGGGGTTAGGGCACCAATGTTGGCGTGCACGATTGAAATGACCATTTTTTGTTCTTTATTGAAATTTAAGTTTTAATAAAAATGTGGAAAGGTTTTCAACAATGAGCTAGTTTAGGATCGATGAGGGGTTTGTAAGGCTTCTTAGATTTGCTCGTTTTGAATATGCCTCCAAGTCTAGGGGCAGTTTTTGCTTCTCTCACAGGCCTGTTGGTCCGGTGACGTGTCTGTCGGGGTCATGGATGTGATAAAGCCCTAAGCGTCTAGGGTTTAGGGCGAAGGGTTAAGGGATTCCAGCCAGAGCCTCTCAAGGCATGTGCCTGGAAATTTCTCCCACATGGACATGGGCGAACCTCCTCTCCCGCTGGCGGCACCTTTATCCCACCCTAAACCCTAAACCCTAAACCCTAAACCCTAAACCCTAAACCCTAAACCCTAAACCCTAAACCCTAAACCCTAAACCCTAAACCCTAAACCCTAAACCCTAATTAAACCCTAAACCCCAAACCCCAAACCCCAAACCCCAAACCCTAAACCCGATCGCAGAGTGAGCTTGCTCGACTGGGGTTTCAGGGCAGTATACATCCTTACCCTGAAATTTTCAAAACTTCTGCCCTCTAAATCCCGAAACCCCCAGCCCTAAACTTCAAAACTCGGGATTCTAGGGTCCCTAAGCCCTAAACCCTAAACCCCAAACCCTAAACCCTAAACTCGCCAGCTGTGAACCCACGCCTGCCGCGCCAGGGCAAGAAGTGTTACGGAGAGCCAGGAACCTGATGAGACACTCTCTTCTCTGCGACATGGAGGTGGGGGGGGGGGGGGTGGCCGGGGAGGGGGCTCTTGGGTATCGAGCCCCCTTCATTAAGGAACATACCTGAATTTATTTAGGGATCCTTAATGTGATTTCAGATATATGCCTTAACCAAGGGGTATTGGGCTCTCTGGGTAATTAAGAGGACCGATGTAGGATTTAGGCTTTAGTGCTTGGGGCTATTGGGGTTCAGGGTTGAGGGTTAAGGGCTATGGGGCTTTAGGGTTTCGGGCTGGTAGGGTTTAGGGTTTAGGTTTTGTAGGGTTTGGAGGCTTCAGGCTTGGGCCTCGTACACGGAAGGCAGAGTTTAGCGTTCAGCAGCATGCAGGGTTAAGGGTTTAGGGCTGAGGGAGTGTGTGTGTGGGAGGTGGAGGGCTTGGAGATGTACCTGGTTTATGATTGGGATAGTATTTAGCATTTCAATGTATCTTCCTTATTGGGTTTAAGTACCCTTAAAAATGTGACATGTTACCCAACTATGACAAAGGTACAGAGTATGAGGGAATTCAGGCTTCAAAAGGGTTCTTGTGGTTTTGTTCAAGGCTTCTCCCGCGGATGTCATGTCTCGGCACCTTTGAATACTTCGCCTCCGACAATGCTGATTCCAAAGGTAAGCCCCAGGATTTGGGGTTTAGGGTTTCGGATTTAGGGTTCAGGGTTTTGGGTTTAGGGTTTCGGGCATATACCAAGACAGATCATCATGCTTCGTGTTTCATACGTTCGTTGAAAGATTGCGGGTAACCTATTTGTACAACCGAACAGCCCTGGCGCAGCCGAATTACCTTATACCCTAAACCGAGAACCCTCAACTTAAACCTCGAACCCTACTGCAAACCCTAACTACTAAACCCTGAAGCATAAACCCCATAAACCCGTAAGCCCTAACCCCCAAATCCTAGACTCCAAACCCTAAACCCTAGACCCCTATATAATGCCCAAACCCTAAACTGCTGTTTGCTTAAGAACCCAAAAAAACAGTGATAATAATCATCATATTATCTTACAAGGAGGAACATGTCGCATTTCTTTTTTTTTTGGGGGTTCTTAAGCAAACAGTAGTATCCCGAAACCCGAAACCCTAAACCCTGAACCCTAAACCCTGCATTCCTAAAGGCAGAAGCACGCCCGAGCCCATGTCGCCAATGTCTCGGCCCAGCGACGGTCCAGTAGGTGAAGCGCAAAGCCTGGAATTTCTCAAAGGGGTCGGGGCTTCGTGTTTCGGGTTTCGGGGTTTTGGGTTTAAGGGTTTTGGGTTTAGGGGTTTAGGGTTTAGGGGTTTAGGGGTTTAGGGGTTGAGGGGTTTAGGGGTTTAGGGGTTTAGGGGTTTAGGGGTTTAGGGGTTTAGGGGTTTAGGGGTTTAGGGGTTTAGGGGTTGAGGGGTTTAGGGGTTTAGGAGTTGAGGGGTTTAGGGGTTTAGGGGTTTAGGGGTTTAGGGGTTTAGGGGTTTGGGTCAAGGGGGTTTCGGGGTTTTGGGTTTAGCGGTTTGGGGGTTTGGGGTTGAGGGTTTAGGGGTTTGGGGGTTAAGGGGATTCGCGTTTAGGGCTGGTAGGGTTTTCGGCTAGGGTCTAAGGACTAGGGTTTGGGCTTCGGGCTGGGATTTTGGGGTTAAGGGCTACAGGAGTTTTGACGGTTTAGGTTGGGGGTTTGGGGTCTATTGGGTTTAAGGGAGGTTGAAGGGCTAAGGGGTGTAGAGGCATAGGATTTTGGGGCTTAGGGGCTTAGGGTGTGGGTTTCGTTTGAGGTTTAGGGGCGCGGGGTTTGGGGAAGGCTTAGGGTTTAGGGCTTATGGTTTCTTGGGCTGAGGGCTTAAATAGAACTGAAAAGCCCTGCCTGAACTGGGCAGGTGTCGGATGATTCTGGCTCTGTGTGTGTTTCTGCTAGCGTCGCTTTCTGGCTGTTGAAAGGGAATTCGGGACGCCGATCGTGTCTGCTTCAGGCACAGCGAGCGCGACACCACATGGT